AAGTGGATACAATCAATTCACTTTACAGTATATTCTGTGAAGCACTTTGAGACAGATATCTGAATGACGTGATAAGGTGCGATATCAAATGCAAGGATTATTATTATTTTGAGGAATTTCCAACCTATATATTCTCTCTTATTTCTAACTTGGAAGAAGGCAGATACGTATTACCCTTCAACATAACAGTGCCTTCAGGCAGGAAGGAAAGTAAGTACAAAGGGGTCTGACATCGCTAGAATCAGGACCATTCACAGTGTTTCATCAGAGGTTAACAATTCGGATCCTATCAATTTTTTCCCATCTAAGGCTCAGTGATGCCATTTATACCATCACAAGAATTGCTTCACTCACAAGAGATCAATGGTTGAACCTCAGCCCGGCCTGGTGTGTAAAGCTCTGTGTGTCATACACAGTAACACACCCACTCACAGAGCTTTCTGAGGACATGGCTTTGTTTTGGTTTCAATTGTCTTTTTGTCTAGTTTCTCACTTCTGTCCCACCTACATTCCTGAGGATGGAAGAGTATCAACTAAAACCCTACTGCAGTGTACACTTTCAGTTACTAACATGGCAACTGATATAACTGACTGTTTATGGGTGTGTATGAATATGTTTGTGTGTGAGTATGCTTGTTTGTGAGCTTGTGTGTGAATGTGGGTGTGTATGAGAGTGTGTTTGCGTGTGTGACTGTGTGTGTGTGTGTGTGTGAGCGAGTGTGTGAGCATGTGATATATACGGGAAGTGTTGCTGTAGAATGTACATTGATGTTGGAAGCAAAATATAAAGGTGTAAAGTGGTTTGCCGGTCTCAATTGCAGTCTGTTCTCACAATTCAGTGCATTCGATTGATGCTGAGTTAAGAGGGATTTGTTTGAGCTAAGGGGTCTGTTCTGCCTTAAAATTGTGTTGTGTTTTTTTATGAATGAGTAATGGGGAAGGAAACGGTAAACCTCTGTGGGTTAAGACATTTTATGGTTGAAAAGAAAGCAGTGGTGGGAAGTGGGATTTGGACATGGCATTTGTGACCTTTACCAGAACAATTAATGCTTATTACTTGAAAACGTAGTCGCAACAATCTTTTGGCTTCAGAAAATTTTGTGCTGCATTTAACGCTTTAGTCACAATGAGTTCCATGACTAATGCGTGACTTTTATTACACACAGCAGCACAGAATTTCATTACAAGGTCAAACTACAGAAGTCTGAGTGATGAATTACATTTCACCCTATTTGGCAAACACAATGCTGGGTTGATTGAAGTTTGAAATTAGTGTAATACAGCCCAATGGCTGCTTAATTTACATTATAAATAATCAATTGAAAAGTTTGGTTACTTGAAGAACAAAAAGTTGTTCTTCGAAAAGTCTAATTTTTCTGATACTTTTGGGGAAGAGAATTTTCTACAATTTCTACACGTTTTGTTTGAAATGATATGTTTATAGTTAGCCACACAAACAATATGTAATTGTCAAATGAATGCAGGGTACATCTTTTGAATCTCTTCGGTATTGTAATGACTTTCATTCATAGTGCTTGTGGCTAATATAATTTACATGTTGCTTCATGGGCAGAATGCATTCTGACTTTTTCTTGTGTTAAATGTTATCAATAGAATCATTGAATCTTACAGCACAGAAGAAGGCCATTTAGCCCATCATGCCTGTGCCAGAGCTACCAACTAGTCCCACTCCCCCACTCTTACACCATAGCCCTGCACAAATGTTCCTTTTTAAGTACCCATCCAATTCCCTTTTGAAAGCTACCATCAAATCTGCTTCCACCTCCCCCTTTCAGGCAGTGCATTCCAGACCGTAACAACTCTCTGGGCAAAATCAATGTTTCCTCGTCTCCCCTCTGGTTCTTTTGTCAAATGTTATAGTTTCAGTCCTCTCTCTGGCTGGGCTCACTGAGCTGCAGATAATTGAGAGAGTGAGCAGTGTGCTCCAATACAGGTGTGAGGTGGGCATCGTGAAGGTGTGTGATCACTGCCTGGGTGATGTGCCCTCCACGATGTTTTCTTTCATAGCGCCCTTCACGCAGGGTATCACCTCGGGACGCTAAACAGTGGAGGATCCTGATGCCAAGCTGGGGGAAGGGAGGGGGGAGGTCACCGTAAACACGATGAAGAGGAAAGTTTTCAGGTGTGATCTTAATAAGGAGAAGGAGGGGGCAAAGTGGAGGGATTCAAGTGGATGAGGGAAGCGAGATGGTGGAGGAGGATGACATTGTCGACTGTGTTGAGTGCAGTGGAGAGGTCCCTGAGGATGAGGAGGCAGAGGGAGCCCTGGTGACAGAGAGAGAGGACGTCATTTGTGACTTTGATGAGCGCTGTGTCTGTGCGGTGAGCATTGCGAAAGTGTGGTTAACACTGAGAAATTAACTTGTGTAAGAAACTGAACTTGTTTATCTTGAGCAAGGTGACAGTAAAGAGGCACTATAATGACTTTATCTAAGTCATCAACGTTATCAACTGATTATGGCTTTTCTGACAGCACAGCCATGTTCTCAGCTATAGAGGGAATCAATCAGCCCGTGTGTGCGTTTCTCTTCTTATCCTGGGCAGAGTCCACTTGTGAGGACATCAATTGAGAATAAGATTGCCTTTGTTGGCCCACAATCAAATGAGGTGCCAATGCTGAATCTCTCGCCAATACATGAGAAATGGCAACGCTACTTTAATAATCACAGTGCCTTATCATGTCTTCAAGACATCTCAGAATGCTTTACAGAATATACTGTAAAGTGTAGTGGCTATATATTTTGTGTACCTTACACAAGACAGACATGAGTGCTCAGCTCTAGTTCTCAGGCAACTAAGAAACATGCTGTTTTCAATGCAAAGCTCTTTTCTGTTCAGTTTGACATCAGAAGTGATGCTGCTACCATCAGAGGAATGGGCTAGAACCATTTTTGATGACTCAAATTGCCTTTGGTCACTGTTCAGATGACAGATGTGCTAACGACAGTAGTTTGAAGTCAAACTCTTTCTTTCCTGTTTGACTGAGCTTTCGGTCACCCACCCAGCCATCTCACTTGTTGAACGTCTAACCCCACCATTGTACAGTGCTCGGAGACATTCACTATCCTGCCTGAATGACCCTAGTTAAAGATATAATGGTGCTCTGTGTGCCTGTTATGTGCTTTAGCAGAGGGCTGTGTGCACGCTGCATGCTGAACACCTTGTGACCTGGGCAAGTGACAAAACAGCATCACAGAGAAGACATGGATGGGGGGGTAGTAATCCCTCAAAGAAATCAATAAATTGTTTGGTCACTGTTTGTGGGACAGGGCTGTGTGCAATTGGTTGCAACATTTCAACCCACAGTCACTACACTTTACAGTGTATTCTGTGAAGCGTTCTGAGATTAACACGTGACATTAAAAGTGACCACATTATAGAACAAATGACTGTAGCGCCATATGAACTGTGAACAGCCATATGCTCATACATGTTCATTGTGTGCTAATGCTGAGAACATCACAAAATGTGTAGTTTAAAGTGTCCAATCAAATGGAGACGCTGTCAGGTAAGGCATAATCAGTTGATGAAGCAAATTGATTGATGCCACATTTGGCTCTGGACAATCTCTGTGTCATCCAGTCGAGCGGGCAATAATGTATTTTGTGCGTTAAGCCTGATTTAGCTTGTTCTCAGCAGATGCAGGTGTGAAGAGGTTTTGGGGGTCAAATCTATGAACTCTTTGAACTTTGTAGGAGTGTAATTTTTAAGAATGCAGATGTGCCCATTTAAAAAGTTGTTTTTAGGATTTTTTTTACATGCTTGACATTAAATTCTTTATGATTGTAGGCACCGAACACAATAAAATACAGGTTGTTGATTCTTGGTCAAGTGGAATGAAAGCTTTAGTTTCCGAGGTACATTGTCTGAACATGAAGGAGGCCCACATTCCTAGCCATCTCCAGTTTTCAAACGGGAAGCAAGGAGTCTAGGAATGCTTTGTGATGATCAGAAATTCGATATGTCCAGTTATGCCCACAAAATACAGTCACTACACTTTACAGTATATTCTGTGAAGCACTTTGAGACTTCTCAACAACATGATAAGGCGCGATATCGATTGCAAGGATGTTTTTTGTATGTGCAGCATTATACTGAACACTCCTAACTACTGCATTTCTCTCTGTACAGTCCCACCCCTTGCCCAGGATACGGTTTCTTCCTTCTCTATATTAAGCTTCCGAATAACATGTTCCTGTGAGCTGCTTCCTGTGCTCTCACAGCTAACTGAAGGTCATGACACACCATTACTACCGTGGTACAGTTATCATATTGCTTGCTGCATGCAATAGGCTTGTCTCAGAACACCATCAAGACAGGAAGTTTGCCCCGATTCGTATTACATCAACAGGAAGCAGTTGCATATATACACGTACTTTGATTCGATGGACTGGTGTAATGTGGGGGCTGGATTTTGTTTGAGGGTTAGAAGTGGGCAGACAGGCTGATCTGATGCACAATTAACTAACATGGAAGCCTTACAGTTAGCTACACCGTCTGGTACAAAAACACAATGACATATCAACATAACCTCTGTGAGTGAACAATAGAGAGCAAGCGTAATTAGAAGGCATTAGGCAAAGTAATCAAGCAATTAAGATAATGTTATAAAATGTGAAAATAAAGATCAAGTAGTTTACAACTGTCATCTGAACCCACGATTGGATTAGATTGCAGTCTTGCCATTATGGCTGGTATCAGTTGTTATTTACAATATACATGTTCATGTTGCTGGCGGAGGAGACAGACAGCAGCTGTAGCCAATGTGCAGATTCTTTGTTACTGGCTCCCAGTTTTTGATACCTGATATTCATGCCTGGACCATCGAGAAATATAGCCAGGGATCTAATACTGCTGTGTGTGTATTAGATATATGTCAACTTTACTTTATGTTTTAGCCTTTACAGTTAATCTGAGACTAAAGGTGATGATCCTTATAAAAAGACAGAAAAACTGAAATACTTCTTGTCTTTTTGCAGCAAGCTTGTGGGCCCACCTCACAGCCAATGGCCCCACCAAGTCCCATCACTAACAGCAGCAGCAACAGCCACAGTAGCTGCAGCAGCAATGCTGGCTGGGAACAGCTGAGCAAGACCAACCTGTATATCCGAGGCCTTCCCCCAGGCACCACCGACCAGGACCTGGTGAAACTCTGTCAGCCGTAAGTACTCTTTACAACCTAAAGCCTCCGTCACTGTCAGGCGCTTTGGGACACTACCCTGCCTGAAGGCTGCTGTATAAATGCAAGTTGTTGTTGTTCCACTCCATCAAAAACAATGCGCATCTTTAGAGATGTTCTTGGGTATCAAAATATAATGAGAAATTCTTCTAAACAGAAAGTGTATAATATATTCTAAGTACATGTTGGGATTTTATTGGATTATTTCTGTTTCTATCCTGGAACACAAGCCATCATGTATCTTCTCGTGTCGTCGAGACATCTCAAAGCGCTTCACAGGATATATTGTAGCGTGGAGTGACTGTGTGTTTTGTGGGCGAAACCTTCCCTCTGGGTAGGAGAAGATTTTGGGGATCTGTGGGCTTCCATTAACTACCTTGAGAAGCTTACGGAGTTTAGAAATGTCTTAACCTTCTCAACATTCAAAGATTTTGGAAATGTTTGCTTTGTACAGACCCAACAGCTCGGGTCTCCTCGGTCCCCTCCCCACCACCTACCTCTACAACAGGTCTAACCCTGGTACAGTTACAGAGTTCTTACTCATTACATCCCAAACCCTGCTTTGATCTCTCAGTCACAAAATGCTAGTGTCAGCATTTCAAAGGGAGCCGCTGGGATCCATTTAGCCGCAGCATTCTCTAAAGTCAAAACTAACGCACAGTATCAGTTAATTTTTTACTAGGTTTACAAGATTCTTTAAAGTTTTCTTTGTGCCACATAGTTTTCCACAACATTAATCCTTCTCCAGTCTTTCTCTGCTCTGTGTGTGTCTGTGTATCTGCCTGTAGGGGGTGTGACTAGTCAGTGTGTCTGTCTGTGCTGTGTGTGTGGGTGTGAGTAGTCAGTATGATTGTAAGGGGAATACTCAATTATATTAATAATAATCCCTGCATTTGATATAGCGCCTTATCACATCTTCAAAGCGCTTCAAGGAATATACTGTAAAGTGTAGTGACTGTGTGTTTTGTGGAATTATTGAATTATTATTACTAGCTCAGTGTAGCCGGGTTGCTTTGGTTCATTGAGGGTTTGTGTCCGTTTGAGACGCAGCCACCAGAGAATTTGAAACTGTGCAGTTATTTATTATTATTTATATCATGCGATGGGAATTTTAAAATCAAATTGTAGCAAATAATTGGATGTTGTATTGTATAGCCTTGTATTGTACATATTGTATTGCCGCCCATGTTACTGATTCACAGCACATTTAGAGTGAATTTACAAATTGTCAAAATGACAGCTCCTTAATCTGTCAGTGTCTATTCCTTGCCTTACTCTGCCCAGCCCAATATCACTTGTAGTTTCTCTCCCAAGTTCTACTATAACATGTACAGTTTTCTATCAGTCTTTATTTGGACAATTATTTGAAGAGGAAAAAATTTGTAGCGTTATGGGTTAAGAGCGGGGGAGTAGGACTAGTTGGTGGCTCTTTCAAAGATCCAGCACAGGCACGGTGGGCTGAATGGCCTACTTCTGTGCTGTAAGATTCTACGATTCTCACTCAGCCGAGCCTATGGTTTCCTACAGCTGTACCCGCCTTGAGAATATGGTCTGTACTAAGGTGATGTGGTACAAACTGGATGTGTGTTCATCAAATGTATATCAAAGTCTTTACTCAAAATGAAACAAATATTCTTAAATATCAGTTTGGGTTGGAAAAAAAATTTCAACTCATTTTCATTTCCAGACTATTTAAAGCACCAAAAGCTTCCATTCTGGGAGCCTTATTTGACTTTGTGATCAAACAAGACTTTCTTCTGCATATATTTAGATCATTCACTAAAATCACACAAAAGTTCAAATGTGAAATTTCTTTTCTTATTTATCTCGGCTTTTGTTCTCAGAGACTCCCTCTCCCTCTCTGGTCGGCTGCTTGTAGGTATTTCCTGTTCTGTTTCACGCTTTGTCGTTTTGTCCCAGTTCAATCGTTCTTTATCCTGACTATTTCCAGTCTATCTTGACTCAATCTCACTCTTTTGTCTGAAATCTATATACTGTGTTCTTGTTTAGTCTCTCGGACTGACTTGGCGTCTCTCCCTTGTTTGCTGCCTCTCCTCTCTGCTCTCTTTGCTGCCTTATGCCTCTGCTTTCTATCATGTGTCAATCACTGTGCCAACCTCGAGTCTGGTCTGTAATCAGCACAAGAGAGAATTGGAGAAGAATAAAGCCACGGCTGCTCGCTTGGCAAAGAACAAAAATAAGCAACACGTGCCTGAGAATGTTGTCGTTGCAGCTGTAAATACACAAAAGGAAAGGATTTAAAAGGATTGAAAACTTTGTATTTAATATACAAATGAGTATAGAGGGGATTGAGGTGCGAAAGGAAACATTTGCAACAGGAAACAGGAGTATGAAATTTAATTGTAGAGAAAAAGGGGATTGAAGAAAGTGGGTACACCCCACGCATTTGCCCAGATCAGAGCAATGTAATCACAGTGCGTATCCAAGCTATATAGTTATCACCAAACTGTCCTTATCTCAACTTCCCCGCAAAATAGTGTGTGATCTATTACTCATTCTATTGCTCACTAAATTAATACATACGTGGCTATTACAAAGTAAGGAGTGAAAATTGAAACTAATTTCATAAGTTGCACCCAGAGTTCCACTTCTAAATCATGGATTTGTGGTTTACAGACATGATAAGGCGCTATGTCAAATGCCAGGATTATTATTATTGTAAACATGTACTTGAAAAATCTGTGTGGACCAGGTTTTCTTCTGGCTGTGGTGTTTCGGCTGTGCTCTGCTGTAACAAAGTACAGAATGTCAGCTAAACCCAGAGACATGGAAGTGAACTTACCCTTATCCTGGCATCAGAGACATCAGTGCACAGATACTTTTCAAAGATATTACAGCAGTTGTGAGGAAGCCCTTTAAGATCTGGTTTGGTATTCCTTTTGATCTGAGTAATGCAGGACGTCAAAACACATTAATGTGTCTTCCTTGCCCTGATGGGATCACTTTATCTTCTGACAAATTGCATTGGGGTTTACCAACCTTCAGTCGTGAGCTACAAAGGCTCCGATTTGTTTCCACCTTATCCTCATACTCTCCTAAAGGCAGTGTTTTCATGCTGGAGTTTACAACGACAACTTGCACTAATACAGCGTCCCTCAGGCAGGGTAGCTTCACAGAGTCTTTAGTTCCCGGAGTTCAGTTCAGTTTAGTGTAGTTTTACCACAGGCTAATGTTAACCAGAATGATACGGAATCACAAACTTAGTTAGTCACTAGCTGTGAGGGGTCCTGTGGAAACCTTGTTAAGCAGCATTTTGATCTCAGTTAGTTGTCAGTGTTTTGCACGGTTACTGGTGTGAATCAATGGTATCCGGCGTGTCACTACTGGTCAGCCCTCCCACATGCTTTTTAGTGTACAGATATGTATGATGTCCAAAGGCCTCTGACAAGGACACAATGAGGCCAGTTGTTTGGAAGCAGGAGGTGTGCAACAGAACTATTTTCCTTCAATCAGCAGAAGCACCTCATCTCCCATTAGTAACACAGAGGAAATCAAGAATTCAGCAAATGGGACATTAGGTACTAACCCATTCCCAGCCCAAATGAGTTGCCACACATCCTCGTGACAATGATTAACTTGGTGAACATCTGGATGGACCTGGGTCTTTTTNCGTCTGGCAATTCTCATGTTCTTATCTTAAACGCCTGAGGTACAGGTTATATGGTAAGCGATAGTAAAGGCAGTTTTGATTAGTTGGGGCTGACTACATCTTAAAAACATGCCTATTAATAAAAATAAAACATTTTGGGGCTTGCTGTTTGCAAACAAGAGGTTAAACAACATTAGAGTGTGACTGTTTGCTGCAGTGTTCCAATATTTCCAGTTTTTCACCAGTGTGCTGAATGTGAAATCACACAAACGTTCTCCCTGAAGCAGTCGGATGCTTGTGCTATCATTTCTACAATGTGCCTGGCCTCCACCGTGCTCACACAGATGTAAATATAGTAACACAATCGCCAATTCTGATCACACTTCTGTATGTTAGATGTTGCACAGAGTGATACAGATTAACCTGATCAGGAAAGATTTCATTCAGAACTTCCATATCATTTTGTGCAGTTGATGGTAATTAGCCCTGAAAATCAATTGATGATCTCAATTATTTGGGCATGAAACACATTTTGACTAGAAATCTATCAAGTAAGGCTTTGTGTTTATAATAATAATATTCCTTGGATTTGATATAGCGCCTTATCACGTCGTTGAGTTGTTTCAAACTGCTTCACAGGATATTACTGTAAAGTGTAGTAACTGTGTACTATGTGGGCGAAATACTTAGACCTTGTTAGGGTCAAAGCACAATAATAAGTAATCACCACAAAGATTACTTACATGGATTCCCAAATCCTTATTCTTTAATATTGAAGCTCATTTGTTTTATACACAGTGGCTGGGCAAACCGTTGTGGCATGTTTAATCCTTTCAATATTGAATTTCTTTGAACAAAGGCATGTTCCTTTTCATCTGAAAACATTGCAAAATTAACACCCTGGGAATATTTTAGCAAAATGAAAGATGCTGGAAACCCTGTCAGTGGAAGCAATCAGATGCTTCAGGACATTCCTTGGGTTAATGCTGCTTTTCTGACAAATAGCTGTTTGGAAGAAGAAAGAGACAAAGTACAAAGGAAAGTATATTGAATTCCACTTTGCAGTACTTTCTAAATAATTGATGGCAGCCATAAATAAGGCACAGTAATTTGTTCTCAGCTGGAATTGTTTGTATGTATGTTCGTCAGAAGTTTTAACAGATTAAAGAGAAACATTATAAAGGTTTAAAGATAAGACAGACTACAGCAATGAAAGTACACCTCAAGGGTTCTTTATTTAATTGAAACTGATATTTCACTCATGAGCAACATTAGACCATAACATAACAGTCCTGGATACAGTTTCTTCCTTCGTACTTTCTTTAGGAAATGCAATAATTGTCATGTATAAAAAGGAAGGATGGTGTAGAAT